CACCAAATGCAAAGCATCACTTTCTGCGGATGGGGTCCAGGTTTTGGGGGATGAAGTGGTTTTTGTCTAGGACTGAGCCATTGTTTTTGCCGTTTAATATTCTCATAGAGAATACATTTTTCATCACCGGTGACAATTCTGTCCAAAAATGGTTCACGCGCATTACGCGCCAGAAAAGACGAAGCAACATTCACACGTTGGAAACAATGATAATCGGAGAGTTTGTGCGGCACCCAAACACCTTCTTTAAGGAGTTTTCCCATATTCCTTAGATGTTTACGTATTGTTTGATGACAGACATGCACATTTAAGGTCATTTTACGAGTGTGTTGCCTTGGGTTAGACTCAACAAGCGTCTTCAGAGCATCATTATCAATTCCAACATGTCGGCCCCTGCCATCACAATTTTTAAGGCTAAAGTCACCTGAACGAAATTTGCTGAACCATCGTTGACGCTTACGGACGTTCAAAACATTTCCATAAACTTGTTTGATATTCCTTGTGGCTACAGAGGCGTTTTTACTCTTCTTGTATTCAAACAGCATTACATGCCGAATGTGTGTCTCGTCGTGTGCCATCACTCTCAGGGATTAGAATATACTAAACTTTACAAATTATATAGGCTACACTAATGTGATTTTTAGGCGGTTCGTTTAACTAGTATACGTGATGTACGTTTTTTGGGGGGGTGGTTAATGAAAGTGTTCCAAAACGCGACATTAATTTCTTGACGACGTAATACAAAAAATTGCAACTTTTTCGCAATTTGAAACGTATCTTTGTTAGATCATCGAGTTACACCAGAAAGGACGTAAATATACTTTAATAGACATTTTATACAACATATTAAAAGCTTATCAAAGTTTTTAAAAAAGGTCTAACGTTAAGTCGTAAAATAATATTAGAATATTATTTATTGATAGTATTGTTGCGTCATCGAGTCACATGACTACTGTGACGCAACATTTCTAGAACTATCATGTACTTTGGCGAATGTTCTAGTTTTTACTAGATATAGGGTAGGCTGGTATATAAAAGAGGGGAATGTAATGTCTGGGTAGACAGTGAGTAATTGAACTGCAGTCAGAGAGCACGAGAGACGTTACAGCGTTTGTTTAGCTCGATTGTTGAAGTTGAGTGTATCGGTAAAGTTATATTCGGAAAGAATAAACCAGTTTTATTAAGTAAAAACTTGTGTCGTTAAAATTTCGTCGCAACGAAGTTACGGAAAGTTAATTAACAAACGGAGACGTAACAGTATTAAGTGCAGTAAGGTTTAGCCCTAACTAAACTAAAACAAAAATCGTACACAAGTTACAGTGTTAATTTATCTCTTTATCGAATATAGGCCCTACGTAATAAAGACTTAACTAATGTTAGGACTAACATAAGTGGACTTATAGATTTCAGTGTCTGCGATTAGAATTTTTTTGTATTACTCTTGAAATCCTGTATTTAAAGAAGTACTGTTGTAATAAAAATACTAATTTGGCTGGAAATATTTTGCGAATCTCTGCTAGTAGGTAATAAACACACCGACTGATTTCCTAAAGGAATATATTATTTCTCAAAGCGACATGAGCTTACGTTATACAGAAATCGACCCGTAAAGGGTTGACTTTTTTGTTGGGAGAGAGGGGACGGGTTCCGTTGATTCGTACTTAATAAAAATGCTAAGTTATTCAAAATAAAGAATGAGGTTAAATTTAAGAATAACAGAAACTTTTATTACTGGTATCATGACAGCAAATTGAATTTGCTAAATTAGTGTTATTGAAAGAAAGTCATTAGTACAAAAATATCAAACCTTGTAAATAACTCTGTTTTAACTTACCTGTCAATTCACCATCCGGCTGTTGGATCGGGTGAGCTAAAATATTAGTAGCAGATTTCTGGTCGACGGTAACGCCCTCCGGAAATCTAGTATCCTACAAAAGTACATATGCGAAATAAAAAAACATTGAACATATTTGTGGGGGATTCAATGTCTCTTTACCTGATTGTGAAGAAAAAGTTTTTAAATTTAAAAGGTAATCAATCGTATAAAAAAGATTGAAATCACGAGAAAAATAAAACAAGTATAAAAATATAAATACAATTTAATCTCCATGTCCTAAAGATTTGTACAATATTTTATAGCGATCGAAAATCGAACGAACCTCCCACTTGGATTGAAGATAAATTAATTCTGTAAAGATATATCAATCAGGTAATATTAGTATCTAAGATTCTTTTAACGGATTTTCATTAATTAGAACAAATTACATTGACATTGTCAGATTTATCAGATTAGTGAGTTGGTTATATATGACTGTGTGGGATTTCAAGGCGACTCAATACTATTCTTTCCATTTCTGTAACAAAGATTTTATAAAAATGAACCATTTCTACCACACTCATTAATTTGTATAATCAATGATTAATTTTGTAAACTTAAGTCGTAATATTTCCCTTCATAGTAAATCTTGAGTCACAATGAAAATTATAGAATATTAAGACGTTGACGTTTAATCATGATGCGTGAATGACCAGACTTCATATTATATTGTTGTTGCTGTTTTTTTTTTGTTGTTTTTTTTAGGGCGCTTAATTCGTTTGACAGCTTACAGTGTTTAGCATTTTGTTGTTAGATTGCTCATTCAAGTAGTTTGAAAAAATAATTGATTAAAATTAACACTTAGGTTTTTAGCTTTCCCATCAGCAGAAGTAAGAAAATAATTTTTAATACGTGATCATTTCAGAACTATAAATTTTGAGAACCAATAACGAACGGTTACTACGAAAGTCTTAAATCTGTCTGAAGTCTGTATATGATCTAGTTATTAGCGTGTCGACTGCAGTTATGAAGGTTAAAAGTTGATGCTACAATGCCCCTGAACAAGCTTCACAGTTTCAGTTTTGGAAGTGTTACAAGAGTGTTAGGTACACACGACTGTTTAACTTTAGTGAAAGTTTTATCAGTTAAATGGTTTAAGTATAGTTAACTTTTTGTTATTTTTTAGAAACGACAGTTTACTGCAGGTTTGCTTATGTAACTGTTTTCGAAGCATGCGTTGTGTAGTGCAATTGTTGTGAATTGGTGATTGTTGTATTATTGCGTCTGGTACTAGAACATTCTGAGTTCTTCTCGTTGTTTTAACTGAGTATTATTACATCATGATATCTCGTAGTGTGTGGAACGTTCTAAGTCTCTGTCAGGTAAAAATACGCGTGCAAAATGTAGTTCGAGTTAGTTAATTAGATAGATAGCATGATTGTGAGTTTAGCCAAAAAGAGCGTATAATGGCGATTTTTAAAACGAAATTATCACAGATTGTATTTTAATAACAGAATAGAAAATATATAATTTGTCTTATAAATTGAGTTCTAAGGTAACTGAACCAATCTTTGTAGACTTGGACGAAAAAAGAGACGATTATTTAAAGCTCTGGATAGAAGTGTGATAACCAACAGTGTAGCAAACATTTGTATATACGTTTGACTTGTTTTTAATATGTTTTTTATAATAAGTGGACTGTTTGCTGTTTGTTTATTGTTGAAATTTATCGCCAACAAGTCACAGACACCTTACAAGAAGCGACAGTCAATCCTCCGCACTTTCAACAGTCAATTCCGTTATTTGGCATACAGTCAGACGAAAGTTCTTGTGGTGTTTCTGTTTTGTTTTGTTTCGTATATTTGCGCCAAGCTATACCAGGGATATCTGTGCTAGATGTCCCTAATTTTTAACTGATTAATTAGACTAAAATACTCACCACTAACAATTGGGCTACTCTAATCGAAAAGCAAGATTTGACCGTCACTCTTAAAACACACCTATTGCCCTAATATGCGGATTTTGAGATATAGGGACGCGAACCATAAACCCTCAGCTCCACAGTTTGGTATATTAATCACTAGATCACACCCGCCCATCTTGTGTTCATGAATGTTGCTGGTTGATTCACTTCCTTCTGGTCAGTAGCTCAAAATCAAGGACAGCTGTACTTGAGCCTCAGAAATCTCTGACTTGGGCATTTCGCTCATGTGCGCGTAAAGTCGAAAATACTAAACACGGAATTTCTTATCATACTGCATATGAACTGGAAACATACCTATTCAAGAACATTTGGTAAGCCGTTACTGTGCCAACCGAATGACAAATAGGACAGTGACTTCAACACCGAGTTCAACTTATGTAACGTATTTATACGGAAGACAATTTGCAACTATAGGCTAAAAAAGAAGAAAAATACACAGCTGATATTTATTAGTTGAGATAAAACGCATAATTTTACCACTACTAGTGTTTAGTTCCGACTTTAACACCTAAAACAACAACGAAAAGTTTCTCTACACGAGTAAATAAATAAATAGGAAATACATATCTTTACCCTGAGTTGGACAGTAAGATTACTTTAAGATGTTTGGTTCATTATTCTCCAGTTGTTAAACGGACTAGATTTTCAACTGATGGATTAATTTGTTATTCTAATTAATTCTTATACAGGAGATCTGTACTATTTAAACACGTGTAGGCTCTATTACACATCATTTGTCAAACAACATGAGAAAGAAGTTTGATTTAAGAAATGAGTCCGATAAATAGGTGTTATAGGGATCCCAACTGTCCAATTCTTGGCTTTGCAAGAAGAACATTACGAGATGTTTTCTTTGATAGATTGTTTAGGCAGAGTATTCATGACGAAACTTAGTTGAATGGAGGACAACTGCGTCTTAGTAGAAACACAAGTGTAAAAGACGACGTTTCGAAAGTCGTCCGCCTTTCGTTTTCAGGCGGAAGACTTTCGAAACGTCGTCCTCTACACTTTTGTTTCTACAACAGGCAGTTGCCGTCCATTCAACTAAGTTTCATTATCAAATGTTATTCCAGTATGGCGATTCTCCCATAGGTCTCATCGGGTAAATGTAACTGTAGTTGGAAGATCACAGTGCTTGAACGACCTGAAGGTGCCATACTATAAACAATAGAATTTCTAACAGCAAAAGGTTCGACTACACTCCCACCGTTTCATCGTGTTAACATCATAAATTGAAATAAACATTTACTGTGCCACAGCTTACTTGTTCTGTATTAGTTGTTCGCACTGACTCCAATGTTTTTGCCACAAAAGCAGCCACTGTATTTTCTGTTTCCACGGAGATTTTGTGGGCTGAATCCTCGAGGCTGTAAAAAAAAAAAAAAAGGAACGACAGTCATATGAATTTTATAACAAAGCACAAACCTACACACACAGAAAGAGAAATAAATTAAATTACCGGTTCTGTCAGGCGAATAATAATTTTAATTCCCAAGTAACAGTAAAAATATTCTAGGTTTGTTTATAGAATTTATACGAACAAACATTAGGTAAAACAAAATCTAACTTAATAATACAGCTATCATCCTTTAAGGTTAAAAGTTGATAACGAAGAACCCACTTTTTAGTTCTGAGACGGCTTGACTGGGTAAAGAAAAAACCTTATTATAAATGTACCACGTTTTGACAAGATTTTGTCATCATCAGATACAAGTAGTTTAAAAGAGATACATGAGTATATTGCTACTATTGAGAATTTGAAATAATCCGAAGCGTAGTTAAATAATTTAAATTTTAATAGTTGAATTGTACCCTGGATTTAGTGTCTAGAAATATGCCGATATTTTATTTAATTTACGCTATTTGCCAACAAGATTGATTCACGCCGTTTTTTGTTTTTGACACAAATACGTTTTAATATATGTGCAACAGTATAATTTACAATAGCAACTACTACGATTAATTATTACAAACAAAGTTTCATAAACAAAAATTTCACTAACT